TCCCTGCCATGTCAGGAAGGAAAATGTGCTAGTGGAAGACTCCAAGGAAGGTGACCAATTGTCCCCATTTGCCTGGGATTGGAGTATTTGCCAGGATCAGGGATTTTTGGTGCTAAAACTGAGACAGCCCTATGCCAAAAAGGGTAGGAAGTCCAGGGGGAGAGTAAGAGGCGGCTTGGTGAGAACCGTGGCCAGATCTGGCGAGCAGACGCTGCTGTGCTGCCTGGCGGATGGTAGTACCACAGCCTGGGCATCAGGGAAAACCACGATTACACAGAGATCTCTCTGACGGTATCCAGACAGATACAGCAAGCGCCACATTGCAAAGCGTCTCTTCTCAGATTAGTCATCAACTAATATTTAAAACAAAGGACGAAGGAAACTTACTGTGAAGACGTCATCATCACCAAGCTCCGCTTCATTATGGATGGTGGAAGATGATGTTGTCGAGCCTGAAAAGACAGCAATGTAATAAAAAGTGTTTCCAAAGAGGATAAGTCAAACCCAGTCACTTAAAAAGTCTATTTTCATACAATCACAGTCCATCCCTCTGGCATGTGAGTCACCGGCAAGGAACAAGTTAAGCTGGAATGAAGTACTTTTCATTTATTCCTTTTTAATGGATTCTTCCCAGGATGCTCCTGAAATTAACTCTGCCTACTGTGGTTCCCAATGGACCTCTCGAAATTCTGCACTGGGCTCTAGAAAATGGGCGCATGGAGATGTACCAGAGAGGAGTGAGGGAAGGACCTGCCTGCTCGTCTTTGTGACCTCAAGTTAGAACTTCCAGAATCTCACTGTGTAAACTGGACTTTGTTTCTCTGGTCTTTTTATCTGCCCATGAGGGACTTTTGAAGTAATGGCTATAGAGTCACCTCCAGCTCTGATTTAGACACTGTGCTCTGGATTCCAGGTTGTGGGAGCCACCTTCAAAGCAGACTCCTGGGCAAGGAGGTTTCCTCGCAATCACAGGACAAGGGTGAGTTTTCTTTGCCTTCTCAGGTGAGTTATGGCTATTACTAGAAAATTCATATTCCACCACAGAACAAACTGGACTGTAGAGTTCAATTTACTTACTTGTCCACCTTTTCCTTCATTCTGGTATGCAGATCAGTTTAAATGTCCCACTTTCCCCCCGGTAGCACTGAATGGATCAAGGTAATTGACCAAAACAAAAGCATATTTAAGTTTGTCTAAGTGAAAGATACACCAAAAGGGGAATTTATTCTGCACCTTTTCCTTTCTTGGTTAGGTCTTCTGAAACATGTTTTTAGTACATTGGCGCATGGGGCTGGCAGGTGGGGCGTGGTGGTTAAGGTGCTGGACTCCCTCATAGCTGACGGCAGTACAAGTCCTGGACCTGGTGGCTTGCTTTCTTGCTTCTCCCTTCTCTCATTCTCTCTTTGTCTCCTTGGTTAAATTAAAAACAATAATAATAATAATAGCAAATAAAATTAAATAAAGAAATAATTATTAAAAAGAAAAAGAACACTGGCACAGAGGCAATTCCACATGGGAAGGTTACTGGCCCAAGTCTGGAGATCTCCCTGAGGACACCAGGTACTCATGTCTCCACAGACCCAGGGCTGAGGCCAGGGCTGGGTCGCAGTTTGAAGACCCTGTTGAAGTCCTCGCTCTCTCACTTACAAGAAAAAGAAATAAATAAGCTTTAAAAGAACCGATCAGAAAGGGATGAAAAATACTTAAATTTCCAGTGAGGTGTTGGAAGAGGAAAAACAATTCCACAACACCCTTTGGAATTCTTATTTGGTATTTTAGGATTTTTCTTTACTCTTTAAATTACTCCAGTCAATCAATGTTTAAGGCAAAGTTTAAAAGACAAAATCAAAATCAAATAAGATAAGTTAGGTAAGTGTATATACACACAAAAAAAGGTAAGTGAGAGAATCAAATTTTGTGGTAACTTCAGTGATTAAGTGAACACAATGCAGACGTCTATCAGTAAGATAGGTGCCATTTCCTCTCTAAACTTTTAAAAAGTATATTTAATTACAACATTTTAAATAGTTGCCACTTATGTCAGACCCATCATGTGAGCACGGGCTTTTATTATTTCTTTTTGGCTATCTCATGGGTATTGTTAATGGATTCATGTTCTAGCCAGAACTGTCTTACTACTGATTATGTTAAGTGATTTTTCTTTAAGATTTTCTTTTCTCTCTTCCACCAAATCCATAATGAAAAAAAAGTCTTCAGAACATCATTTTTTTTTTTCTTTTTTACTTATTTACTTTTTGGAGAGATTTTTGCTATTGAATGTGTGCGCTTGCTGGAGAGAGAGAGACATAAAGTGAGAAATCACCCCGCAGGGGGGGTGGTCATGCCACAATCCCTTCTCCTCCATTTCCTCTTGGGATTTTGGGCATGTGTGCACATACACCTGGCCTGAATTTCAACCCACTGGGTCTGGGACTTGAACCGAAGTTGACTATGTGGGAGTCTAGTGCCTTAACCATTATGCCACTTGCTGGCCCCAGAACACCATTTCTTAACAAATAAAACACATTATTTTGTGATTAATTTCACCAAGTTCTGAATTTAACATGCTTTGGGTAGTATTTCTTCACAGGGTCCTGGCTATGGCTTGTGTAATGCTCTAATTTGGTAAGTGCTGAAATGGAGAATTTGTGTGTTTGCTTCTGTGGACAGTAGACAAGCCCATCAAGGGCCCTCCAGACCAGGATCAGATATGCCTACCACTCATCTAACCACAGACCAAGGCCTAACCTCAATGAGGGACCTGGGGTCAGGAGCAGCTATATACCCTGGGTCTCTGATTATAGGAGGACAGTGGGGCAGGCCTGCTGCAGTCTGGGCCAGTCAGAGTCATTCTCTTTTTCTGAGCCCAATGCCATGCCAATAGCCAGGACTAGGTGAACTCTGTCAAATTCATTCACAAAGGAATCCAGAACCTACCTGTTTGTTTTTTCAAAGCAGAGCTAAAAACCAAATGGGATTGTTCCTTACTCTGAAACCAATATCCTTTCCCCTGCAATGTCACTTTAACTACTCTCCTTGGATATTCAAAGTTTTGGCATCCATTGATCTGGCCCTAAACCCTCTTGCAGATAAACCACAAATATATAATGGCAGACTACTGGAATGAAAAATAACTTGGAGCATTTCCATAGATGCATTAAAAATGCAGCGGTGAGTATAATACCTTCTATGAGGTCTTCAATCGCTTTCCTCACTCCCCTGTCAAAGGCTCGTGCATCAGCAGGGCTTTGAAAAGTAAGTCCAAACTTCCTATTATCAACCTTCCAATGATGAAATGTTGGATTGGCTTTGGTGTAGACCAAGTCCTTTCTTACATAGCATTCCAATACCACCTGAAGGATGGAAACATACAGGCTGGTTACTTATGGTATAGCCAAGATGGTATCTGTTCCAGAAGTCATCGCTGGTGGCAACTCATGAAAACTTCCACCAGCAGGTGGAAGAAACCTTTGCTTTTTCACCATTCGATCTTCGTTGACCCAGCCCCCTTGGATCTGCTAATCCCCACTGTCCTGGATGTTCTCCTTTACCACGCTCCTCACTATCTCACTGAATCTTCCTCCACCTGCCTTGACTGTGGGGCACTCAGCTGGGGCCCAAGTCTTGGGTCGTTGTTTGGTTCCAAGCTTACTGATTCTATGAAGGGGTCGTTGTACTGGTGGCTGCTAATCTACCTACCCCTGTCCGAGTGGGTATCTTCCCATGACTCCAAATTCAACAAGTTGAAAAATGAACTAATCGAACCTGCTCTGAAATTTCTGCCACTGGTTTCCCCTCCCTACTTTCCCGTATCTGGCAAAATCAACCCCCCCTCTGCTTATTCTCTCTGGCTCAAAGTCTCTGGGGTGATCCTTGCCTCTGATGTTTTTTCCATATCTTGTATTATCGATCACCAAGTCCATCTCACTTTTCCTTCAACATCTTTTATGTCAACCCCTTCTGGTCACTACCACCTTGATCTGGATCTTTATTAATTTCACATTTTGCTTAGGAGGACAATTTCCACATTTCTAGCACTCCAGTCTCAGAACTGGCTTTAACTGAGCTCTAATTTTGAGTAGTTGAATCTTTTACCTCCAGATCACGACCCTAAGAGAACATAAACATGTCCTGAAAATGCTCAATTCATGAGAAACAGCATTTATTTCCCAGCAGGTTCCCACCATCAGGTTGTACCCATGTATTTGGGCCGGTTCTCCTTGTCACCTTCACTGGTTAGTGTCTGATTTCATTACTACTCTCTAACAGTTTCCTAGGAGTGTATTGTTGCCCTAATGAAATGATAAAATGTCAAGAGGTATTGTAAGTATGTTAAAACTAGCTCAGTGTCTAGCACCAGGGTCTTGCTGACAAAGATACCAGAGTTTAATATAATAAAAGTATTGCAATCACAGGAACAGAAATGCCATTTTTTTATTCATTAAAAAACCCACAGTTACAGTATTAATTCCTAGACCTTCATTATAAAGATCATAGTTTTCCTAAGTTTTAAAAAGAGAATTATTTATTTTATTTATTATTATTATAATTGTTGTTTAAAAAAATTATTTGCTATAGGGCATGTGTGCTCAACAGAGAGAGACAGAGAGAAATTGAGAGAGCAAGCTGCCAGGCCTAGAATTTGAACTGTGGTTGAAGATGTGGACGTCCAGTGTCTTAACCACCATGCCATCTGCTGGCCCTAATTTTGTCAAGTTGTTGTGGGTGTGTGTGTTTTGTTTTTCTTTTAAGAGGTTTTTGCGTCAGGGTGTATGTACTCACGGGAGAGACAGAGACAGATACAGTGAGAGCAAAAGCGAGAAGTCACCCCCCCACGGGAGATGGTCACAACGCAATCCCTTCTCTTCTGTTCTCCTTCTGGGATCTTAGGCACACATGCACATGTGCCTGTGCCTGGTGTGATTTTCAAGCCACCAAGTCCAGGACTCGAACTGCGGTTGGACATGTGGGAGCCTAGCAACAAAACTGCTATGCCATCTGCTGGCCCCCAATTTTGCTAAGTTTTAATAACCTTGCTCTTGTTCTGGCAAAGCTCTGTATTTAACACAATGTGATCTTACTAATTTAGATGAAGTACAGGCCTGCCTAAATCAGGATAAATTTAAATGAGCATGAATTTCAAGAATACATCAAAGCAAAAAGAAATTAAATATTACCTAAAAATATGTCCCCTAGCTTAATAAATAAATGAGAATATTCAAATTGGTATGTCCAATAGCAGTCCCAAGCAGCTTTTACTGCATTGTATTGAAATAGGACACCAGTCCCCTCACACAATTCTATTTATGATTAATTGCTTATTATGGTCATTTCTCCCTAAGAATAGAGCAATGATTAAATGTCAGCCCAGCCCCATTCCAAATTGGGGAAATCCAAAGAACCAAGGATTTAACTAACAAATGTTATCTATTTTAGAATTTAATAGTCCTAATTCCAAGTCTCAAAATAAACTTTTTGTAAAAACAAAGATTCCTAGTTTCCCCATATTTTTAGGGTGGAAAAAAAAATGGCCTTTGATTAGTATTTTTCAGCTTTAAAATTATTCCAAAGGTACGTTTTTGTTTGTTTGTTTGTTTGTTTGTTTGTTTTAGAAAAGTTAAAGTAAACTAAGTCCAGTCACTTAAAGTGAGGGAAGAAATCAAAAACCATCTTGTTATGTCCCTTTCAGCAAAATAAATAACATCATCTTGTTTCTAAGTTTAACAACAAAAATGAAAAAGTTCAGGTGCTTTCATCTTTATAATAGATATAAACCCTTTGGAGAAGTTCTAGGATACACACAATTAGACCTTAACTTAAGTAATTAGAGTCTTGTCGGAGACTCAGGTTCTCTTGTCTGCGTCTGCGTCCAGCCTGCTCTATCTGTTGCTCTGAAGTACATAAAGAAGCTTTGGCGGTGCACAACTGCATCGATGGAAAGAGAAGTGCAATTCCAGCAGCCCCTTCACTTCTGCTGCACATGGAAGGGTGAAGATGTTGCAAGGAAAAGTACTTGCGTGACTGTTTCAGTTGCACGTTGAACTCACTGTTTTTTTCATAGGTCATTACTTTTTCTTGAAGGAAAAGCTAACAGAACAATTGTGGTTGTTCAGACTTGGATATCTGGCAGGTACTTTCTTTAAAATGAATAAAGTGAACCTGTCACTACAAGGAAAATTACTGCAAGTGCTAGTTGCCACTAGTAAAATTTAAAGTTGAAGGAGTGAGCAGATAGTGTGGCGGTTATGTCGCTGGACTTCCACATGGTCAACCTTGGTTCAAGTCCTGGTGGCCTGAAAATCATGCTGGGTGCAGGTGTGTGCGTGCCCAAGATCCCAGGAAGAGAATGAAGTAGAAGGGAATGTAGTGTGGTCACCTCTCTGGAGGGAGTGATTTCTCACTTTCCCTTTCACTGTTTCTGTCTTAGTCTCTCTATCTCTTGGGTGAGTATACACTCTCTAAGGTAAAAACCTCTTTTTCTTTTAAGAATTAAGTTATTTGGGGGCTTGCAGATGGCATGGTGGTTAAGAACGCTGGATTCTCACATGGGTGACTATGGTTACAATCCTGGCATGGTGACTTCCTTTCTCTCTCTTTTTCTCTCTTGTTCCTCTCTGGTCAAATTAAAATAAATAAATAAATAAATGAAGTTAAATGAAATAATTATTTATTTATTTATTTATTTTGCTATAGGGCATGTGTGCTTGCCAGAAAGACAGAGAGAGACAGAGAGACAGAAAGCGAGAAACCACCCCTCCAGAGGGGATGGCCATGTCACAATCCCTTCTCCTCCATTCTCCTCTTGGGATCTTGGGCACACATGCACATGCGCCCAGCGTGAGTTTAAACCACCGGGTCCAGGACTCGAACTGCAGACGACTACATGGGAGTCCAGCAACATAGCCATTATGCCAAGTGCTGGTCTCATGAAATAATTTTTTAAAAATTAAGAAAAAGAATTAAAATTTTATATTTAATTTATTCATTTTCATTATTTTTTTTTTTTGAAGTAGACCAGAGAGAGACACAGAGAGAGAAGGAAAGTGAGAAAGCAAGCTGCCAGGTCCAGGACTTGAACCACAGTCAGTCATGTGGGAGTTCAGCCACCTTAACCACCACACCACCTGCCAGCCCTAAAAACCTCTTAAAAATTTTAAGTGAAAACTAGGATTCTAGACAGTCTCCTAATACTCAGACTTTTCTAATGATATCAGCAACAATATTTAAAAATGTAGGTTTTTGATTTTGTAGAATAAAATGTGTCAACATGTAACTCAGTAAACCAACATTTTCCAGATGATCAATACATGTTGATACAAAATTAGGCACGAATAAAGGAGTCATTCAAAGTAAAAGCCCAGCAGGTGGCTTGGAAGTAAAGGCAGCTGGATCCCACATGGCTGACTGTGCAGATCCAGTCCTGGACTCGGGCTTGAAAATTACATTGGGTGCATATGTGTGTTCCTAAAATCCCGAGAGAGGAATGGAGGAGAAGGGACTGTGGTGTAGCCGGTCCCCCTGGGATGGGAGATGATCCCTTATTTTCCCTTATCCCTCATTTTCCCTTCTCTCTTGAGAGCGCATAAGCCTTATAGCAAAAACAACGACAAAACCAAAAAAAAAAAAAAAAGAAAAAAAGGAAAGATAAATCAGAGAATGATAATGTAATAGAATGTTACATATCTAAGAAACTACTATGAGCTGAGTTCTGGTACTGTACCAAAAGAAAAATATTTATAATGATCTGAAATGTCTATTAAAATACGTTTCCCTTTTCCAATTACACATTAATGTGTGAAACTAAATTCACCTACTTCAACCAAAATAACATATTACAATACATTAAAAGCAGGAGTAGATATTAGAATACATCTATTTTCTACCAATGCAGATATTAAAGAGATTTCTAAAAAAGTAAAGTAATACTACTCTTCTCATGAATTACTTTTATTTTGGAAAATAATTATTAGAATTATTTTTCATTAAAAATGTTATTTGTACTAATAATATTGTTTAACTAAAAGTTTAATATTTTTCAGTTTTAATTTCTAACGTGATAAATATTAGTAGCTATAACTCTCCAAAATAAAAGCTCCTTGAAGTACTCAATGAATATTTTAGAGTATAAAAAATAGATCCTGAGATCAAAAAAAGGTTAAAAGTGTTGTTGTTCGTCAACCTTTGTATATAAGCCTGTCTCTATAGGATGGTGCTTTAGATGTGAACTGCTAGGTAAAGATGTATGCACATTTAAAATTTAAATCCTACTAAACTGCCTTTGAAAAGTTTTTCCAGTTCAAATTCCCACCAAATATTATTTGAGAAACCTCCTTGTCCTGCAATGGGAATGATCAACCTTGTAGATTTTTTGATTCATCTTCATAATATGGTTTCTCACAAGATTTATCTAAGTTGTAAACTGCTTTGATCAATCTAAATTAAGATTCAACTCAGGAACTTTTGATTTACATATAATTTCTCAGGAAAACAGAATTATCCCCAATTTACCAAAAATTACCTGAATAAACTATTTGTGAATGAATGTCTAGAACACAGATTTTTCCCATAGAACAATGGCAGTTACATTCACAGTCCTCAATATTAAAAACAATGACAACAAGTGAAAAAACCTCCCATGACATGCTGAATTCTAGAACTGTGCTACACTGGAAAACCCTTAACAGCACTGTTTCTATCAGAAAGAGTACTTCTTTCCCGAGTTGGAATTTGGAATGCTGGGAATGCAGATGTCATCCATCTAAGGTATCCTAAGAATGATCCCCTTCTCACCATTCCATCAGAGGGGATCCCCTCAACAAGCCACCCCATTTGCAGAGCTCTCATGGACCTCAAGTGGGCAAGGACTACATTGTATTTGGTTGTTGGAAAAGTCATGATGGATTTTTGCATAGAAAAACAGAAAAACACATCATGACTTTTCTGGTGACCCAACAGAAGCTTGAGAGGCCACAGGAAGGACCACTGCATCTCAAAAAGGGTGTGTGTGTGTGTGTGTGTGTGTGTGTGTGGAATAAACAGCAGGAAGGGCTAGATGCCACTGAGTGCAGGAATCCAAAATTCCCCAGAGGGTGAGACAGGCAAAGTGAGGGAAGGAAAGATGGAGAAATACCACCGAATGTCTGCGTGTGTGGTTAAGTACTAGTGGACATAAAGCTCAGAAGTGTGAGGTCAGCTGGTGGCATAGCAGTTAAGGTGCTGGATCCCACATGGCTGATCATGGTTTCAGTCCCAGACCCAGTGGCTTGAAACTCGTGTGTGTATCCAAAATCCTGAGAACAGAATGGAGGAGAACAGATTGCAGCATGGCCATCCACCCTGGGGGTGATTTCTTACTTTCCCTCTCATTGTCTCTCCATGAATGCACACGCCCTATAGCAAAAACCTTTAAAAAAAAAAAAGAAGAAGTGTAGAGTCACAGACTGTAAAGAGATGGGAAGAGGATGGCGAAATCTTATGGAGGAGGGGTGGAGGCTTGCTTCAGGTTAGCGGATCCTTGTACAACAGCAAGGAACAACAGTAGCTTGTCCACAACTCCAAGGGGGCAGGTGGACAGAGGGCTGGGCCACCCTATCAGTGCACAGACTTTGTATGAAGGGACTGGGCCCTGGCTTCCCCAGGAAATGTGGTCTAAAGCTGGCTCCCAATGCCGGCGTGCTGCAGACTGAGTAAATCAACTATGTGGGACACTGAGATCCACCCTCAACACCTGGAGATAAGAAAGTCTTTGTCCTTCAGACATGTTATAGGAATTTACCTGAGGTTATTTACATAAAGGGCTTGGAACAAAATGGTAAAAGTTTGTCATTACTATGTATGAGTCCTGGTAAGACACAAATTAAGGGTCTGTATCAGACAATTTGAAAGGCCATTTTAGGTTGAAATATTTTATGACAAGCCATAGATATGCCAGGAGAAAAATATCTCTAAAAATACACAACCCTTCATATAAATTGCTAACACAAAATAACAATAAAAATAAAATGAGGGGCCAGCCTGGTGCGTGGCAGGTCGAATCCCACAAGGCAAACTGCACGGCTTGAATACTGGACGCAGCAGCTTGAAAAACATGTCAGGTATGTGTACACATGTGCCCAAAATCCCAAGAGGAAAATGAAAGAGAAGAGACTGCAGTGTGGTCATCTCCTTTGGGGGTACTTTTTCACTCCCTCTCTCTCTCTCTCTCTCTGTCTCTCTCTGCCACACGTGCCCTGTAGCAAATTTTAAAGAATAAATAATTAAAAAAAAAAAAAGAAAGTAAGTGAAAAAAATTTCTATCAAAATTTTATACAAAAAAACAACAACTAAAAATGCAAGCCTTAGAATATAAAATACATGGGGGCCAGCACTTGGCGTAATGGCTATATCGCTGGACTCCCATGTAGCCGAATGCAGTTCAAGTCCTGGACCTGGTGGCTTAAACTCACACCAGGTGCTTGTGCGTGTGTGCCCAAGATCCTGAGAGGAGAATGGAGGAGAAGGGATTGCAGCATAGCCATCCCCCCTGGGGGGGTGACTTCTCACCTTCTGTCTCTGTCTTCCTGGCAACGCGTGCACGCACCCTATAGCAAAAACCTCTCAAAACAACAACAACCAAAAAACCCCCAAAAAACCAAAAAACAAAAAAACACCACACTTGTGTGTTTTGAATATCTTGTTATAATGACAGACATCTTAATCAGAGACAAGCAAGCAGGACGACCACACATACTTCTCAGTATCTGAGTTACAGGTGTGCGTGGAGACATTGCTGGAAAGGGAGAGTTAAGCTTTGCAATTTAGCACCAGTTCTAACTTCTGTAGCTTTTGCAAGTTTGAAGTCAGAGAAAGAGGGATTAAAACAAACAAACAAACAACCCCCCCCAAAAAACAAAAAAAACCCAAACCAATAAACAACAACAACAACAACAAAAACAAAGGGAAGAAGGCTGTGATTGAACATAAAGAAATCAGTCATTGCTAAGTTAACCCACGTGTTGTTGTAAGTCTGCCATTACCAGTTTGTCTTTCTGCCGTTCACCGTGGATGAGAAAGCCGCTTCGTCCGTTGCCTTCAGGGTGCATGACCTTACAGACCCCGACACGACTGATCCCGCCTCCTTCCTGTGGGAACCATCCCCCGCTGGAGTCATCTCTGGTCATAACCACAGCCTTGACGCGCACGATATAGCTGTCACTAGAACGACAAGAAGAGTGGGCATGACAATGGTCCGATGCCGTAGAACACGTTTCACAATGCGAGATGACCACTGGCGAGCACTTTCCTGGACCTGTCCAAGGAAAATCTATGCCTGATAGCAACCTTAAAAGGGAACCCATTCCCACTTTCAGGGAAAAAACAAAAAACACGGAAACCCAATACAAAAGTACTTAAAAAAAAGTTTTCAGGACTGTAATGATTACATAGTCCATTGCAGTTTGAGTCCTGATCAGTGACTTAAAACTCACGACAGGGGACCAGCAGTTAGCGTAACGGTTATGTTGCTGGACTCCCGTGTAGTTGACAGCAGTTCGAGTCCCGGACCTGGTGGCTTAAACTCACACCGGGCGCATGTGCGTGCATGCCCGAGATCCCCAGAGGAGAAGGGATTGCGGTGTGGCCATCCCCCCTGCGTGGCCATCCCCTGTTATCTCTCTGTCTTTCTGGCAAGCGCACGTGCCCTATACCAAAAACCTCGCCAAAACAACAACTGCAACAAAAAACAAAACTCACACCAGGCACGTGTGCCTGCGAGCCAGAATCCCAAGAGGAGAATGGAGAAGGGATTGTGGTGTGGGCATCACGGTCCCCATGATTTCTCGCTTCCTGGCTCTCTGTGTCTCTGAGTAATGCATGCACCCTCTAGCAAAAATCTCTCTTAAAAAAAAAGTTTTTGCCATAGAGCATGTGCACCCACCCACTGGAGAGAAAGAGAGGAAGGGAAAGTGAGAAATAACACAGGGGTGTGGGGAGGGGGGGTGGGGAAGGAATGGCCTGGTTGTAATCCCTCTTCCTCCATTCTCTTCCCCGGATTCTGGTTCGGTGTATTTTTCAAGCCACCAGTAGGTCTGAGACTCAATTGCACAGTAAGCCATGTGGGATCCAACTGCCCTAATCACCATGCCACCAGCTGGACCCAAAAGTACATTTCAAAAAAGATACCTAGCATTAAAAAAATACTTGAGAGGTTTTCAAGATGTACCCAGACATAATGTTCTCCAATTTCTGGATACAAGTATTAATAATAAAACAAAGGAGTTGATTTCTAGAATTTGGTATCTATAAATCGAAGAGACGAACCTATTAAGAGTGTAATAAATTTTCAGTTTTCAACCCTGTTAAACGTAGTTTACAATGAATGACCTGAGATTTCACATTTTATAAAGCTAATAATCTTATTTAGCATAATAACAGGACACTCCACTTCCAAATCAACAATTCACCCTGTGATCATTCATATAGGTGGGAAAATATTTCAATTCAAATAACCCTTGATACATTTATAGCCTTTTGTTTATAATTTTACTTTTTCCAGCCCAAACCTTCAGAAATTTCGTAGTAAGTTCTTTTGCACATTTGCTAAAAATCCTTTCTTCTCCAGAGACCAACTCTAGCTTCTTTTCATTCTTCACCACTTTTTTTTTGGAAATTTCTTTGGGTTTTTGGCAAGACCATGAAATTCTCATTTGCTGTTTTCTTTCTTTGGAAAGTATGTTTTACTCATTCAAACATACATTCCCATCTTATACATGCTGGGCAGTGTGCCAGATTATAGGGAAATAACGACGTGAGTAATGTAGACCTCGCCCTCCCACCACACGCACGCGTGCGCGCGCGTGCGCGCGCGTGCGCACACACACACGTTCCTCGGTTGCAAGGAAGACTGTCCGCTGGCCCCAGTGCTAAGAGTCTGAAGGAATGGCCTGGTTGTAATCCCTCTTCCTCCATTCTCTTCCCCGGATTCTGGTTCGGTGTATTTTTCAAGCCACCAGTAGGTCTGAGACTCAATTGCACAGTAAGCCATGTGGGATCCAACTGCCCTAATCACCATGCCACCAGCTGGACCCAAAAGTACATTTCAAAAAAGATACCTAGCATTAAAAAAATACTTGAGAGGTTTTCAAGATGTACCCAGACATAATGTTCTCCAATTTCTGGATACAAGTATTAATAATAAAACAAAGGAGTTGATTTCTAGAATTTGGTATCTATAAATCGAAGAGACGAACCTATTAAGAGTGTAATAAATTTTCAGTTTTCAACCCTGTTAAACGTAGTTTACAATGAATGACCTGAGATTTCACATTTTATAAAGCTAATAATCTTATTTAGCATAATAACAGGACACTCCACTTCCAAATCAACAATTCACCCTGTGATCATTCATATAGGTGGGAAAATATTTCAATTCAAATAACCCTTGATACATTTATAGCCTTTTGTTTATAATTTTACTTTTTCCAGCCCAAACCTTCAGAAATTTCGTAGTAAGTTCTTTTGCACATTTGCTAAAAATCCTTTCTTCTCCAGAGACCAACTCTAGCTTCTTTTCATTCTTCACCACTTTTTTTTTGGAAATTTCTTTGGGTTTTTGGCAAGACCATGAAATTCTCATTTGCTGTTTTCTTTCTTTGGAAAGTATGTTTTACTCATTCAAACATACATTCCCATCTTATACATGCTGGGCAGTGTGCCAGATTATAGGGAAATAACGACGTGAGTAATGTAGACCTCGCCCTCCCACCACACGCACGCGTGCGCGCGCGTGCGCGCGCGTGCGCACACACACACGTTCCTCGGTTGCAAGGAAGACTGTCCGCTGGCCCCAGTGCTCAGAGTCTGGTCACTACAATCGCTGGAGACAGACCATGGGGCATCCCTCTGTCTCCTGTTCCTGCTCACCTCAGTCACCTCTAAAGACAAAGCCACGCAGATTTTCCATGATCCCCCATGGTCATCCTCTGCTGTGGCCCAATACCCATTTCTGTTGCTCCCCCCTCAATTCAAGGTCCAAGAGCCCCCTTACTTCCTTTTCCTTTCCTTTGACCATTTCTTTCACTTTAAAAACTTGCAGTAAAATATACATGGCATAAAATCTACCATTTTAGCTATGTGTTAAAGCTTCTTTCTTCTATAAGCAAAAGAGACAAACAAGAGAGAGGAAGTGGCACCCCCAATAAGACCCCAGATCCTGTGCTGTACTTCCCGCTTCAGCCACCCCCAGGTCGTGGGCATGTGTGTGCCTGGCAACTCCGGGTGTGAGCTCAGAACCTCCCCACAGGGATCAGCTGGCACAGCATCCGTTTTACCGCTGCACCACTGTCTCGCCCATCTTTCACCATGTAAAAGCGTACAGGTCAGTGGCATCAACGGCATTCTGCAACCATCGCCACCACCCATCGCTGGGCGTTTTGCATCATCACCACCTGAGACTCTGCACTTAGCAAGCACTGGCTCCCCATTCTCTCTGCCTGCCCCACCTCCAGGCAGCCATCGTCCTCCGGTCTGCCCCCATGAATTTAATTCCTGTAACTTCCTTTCACCTTCCTAACCTAAATAAAAAATGTGCTCCCTGCCCTGTGGCAGGTTAGAAAAATAATAATAAATAAAATTAAATAAACAATTCTTAAAAAACAAAAGTGGGTCAAGCAGATGGCATAATGGTTACACGTTGCTGGACTCCCACGTAGTCGACCACAGTCTGAGTCCTGGACCTGGTGACTTACAACTTTCACCAGGTGCGTGTACATGTGTGTGTCCAAGATCCTGAGAGGAGAATGGAGAAAAAGGGATTGAGGTGTGGCCACTCCCCCCACATGGAGGTGACTTTTTGCTTTCTGTCTCTACATGCCTCTCTTTCTCTCTGGCGAGTGCACATACCCCATAGCAAAAACTGCTCTTTTTAAAAAACAAACAAACAAACAAAAACCACGGTGCTCAGACTGAGCCTCTGTGGCTCAGTTCACACACCACCCCCCAGGGAGCCTAGAGTGGGTACTTGCCTCTGCTGTAGGCCTCTCCCCCCCACCCCCAGCTCCTCTAAGCTCTCACTCCTGACCGTGCCTCCCACAACCCTTCTTCAAATCCTCCCCAGCCCTGCTTCCTCACTCCTTGAACTGCCAGCAACTGTCATGAGCCCTGACAAGATTCCTGGTCATATCATTATTAACTCTGAGGATGTTCCCAATTCCCTGATCTCACAGTGTCTGAAACCCTTCCCCACCCAACCTCCGCCATCACACACAGCCTACTCACGCCTTGTCAACAATACCTGCACCCGTTCAAACCTGGGCTCATTAAGCACCCTCTCTCCCACTACCAGCTCGGAACGCGCAGCTCCTTCCCTTCAGAGTCCCGTAATTCTCCGTAGGACCAATGCATCGTTCTACCACTTTTACCCTGTCCCCACCCCACTCCAGTTCTCATCTGATTCTGCACACAACTTAAGTACCATGTCTAGCCCAACAACTTTGCACGTGACCCTGGCATTGGCCCTGGCTTTCTTCAGTGCGACTGCCTGTCACAGCCCCAGCCATGCAAATCTTGTCATATTCCTACTCCGTGCCCCCACGCAGGGTGTTGGACGTGGCTGAAGGGAAAAACCCCACACTTTACTCGGCTCATAGGCCTCATTCTACAGTCACGGTCACTACCCTAAGTGGGTCCTTAAACGCCAGCCAGCATCATGCTCCAGTTCCCTGGTCTGTCGTCAAGGGGCCTGTGTCATTCGGCCTCTTACCTCCTCACTCTCACATGATGGATGGGCTTGCTCTAATTCTACTGAGAAAATAGCCACACGCAGCAGAGACCTTGCGCCTGCACCCGCTGCCGGGCCTGCTACTCTGTACCCGCGCTTGCTATTTTTCCTCCTTAAAACTCGGCTCTCCACTCACCTCCCCACACACCAACTTAGGCTCATTCTTGTATTCCATTCAGGTCTCTCTGGCCAGGGTGATGTCAGAGAAGACATCCCTGTCCACTCTATATAAAGCAGTCCAGACTCCACCATCCCTCTTTCTCTCTCTCTTTTTAAACATTTTTGCTAGTGAGGACTGGCAGGCGGCATGGTGGTTAAAGGTGCTGGATTCTCACATGGCCAACTGAGGTTCAAGTCCTGGACCTGGCGGCTTGATTTCGTACTCCCCCCCGCCCCATCTCTGTCTGCTCAAATTAAAAACATGCAAACGAACGTGATT